TTTTAATGTAGGTGAATAATAATGAGGCTTAAGGTGTTTCTCACAGTAAGAAGTCAGACAGATTAAACAGGATTTGCGGGCTTTCAGTTTTCTTCCAATACAGAGACCACAGGCCACATCTTCAGGTCCAGCATAGCAGTGATCAGCAGTAGCAGCTTGGAGTCCAGTCTTCTTCAGCTCCTCCACTAAATTTGCTAAAATGGTATTTTTCACCAGCACGGGCCTCACTGTGAAGATCTGCCTACATTGAGGACAGCATTGGATTTTCTTTACCTTCTTGCCATTCCAGAGTTTTGTAATACAGTTCACGCAGTAGCTGTGTCCACAGGGAATAGTCACCGGATCCTTCAGTAGATCCAAACAGATCGAACAAGTAAAGGTTTCTGGGTCCATTTGATTTTCTTGCTGCGCTAATTCCCTATTTTCTCTCTGACTGTCACATAGTTTTCACTTTCTGTGAACACAACCAGCCTCTGTGCCCTGAAGGGAAACTGAGCTCTTGTTTACTTCTTGCAATCCACCCTTATACAGGGGAAGTATTAACAGTGTGACAAAGAGCGTGTTGTGACAGGCATGGTGTGTTATGCTTGACGTACTGAATACAGTAACAACTATGACCCAGTTAAGCAGTTTACAGGAATTTAAACAGGAATTTTTACACTCAGAGCTTTAACCTTTAGCTCCTAACATGTGAATTGAATTGGATATCTTATCTAGGAGGGTTTTTCAGTTCTGACTGACTTGTGGGGATTTGGGATTTAAGCTCTGTAGGATCTACTGAGGACTTTGATATGTCTTGGGTCACTGTGCTTCTGGCTGTTGTAACACAAGTCAGTGGATTTTTTTGTGAGTCATGTGATTGTTTAGTGAAGTACATGGGAAAAGACAGTTATCGAGAATGATTGAAATGATTGGTTCCCTTACTTTAACCTACACTTACAGGTTAGTTATCTGTTTTGAATATTAATAAATATGACTTAAAACATTGTCTAATCACCTAGTCAAACTACAGAACAGCGATTAGAATCATACAGTCTATCTAAAAAACCAACAAACTAGGGCTGTCAACGTTAACACCCTCATCACGATTAATGAGATTACAAATTTTAACGCAATCAACCCATCTAGAGCGCAGAATGGACAAACTTTGGACAAACTGCCCGAAATGCATTTCAGGGATTTTGAGTCATTCTGCACTCCAAATGGTTTAATTGCTTTAAAATTTTCATTCTTCTTTCTGTGACGAGAAAGAAGAATGAAGGCAACCAGGTTTTTTAAATATTCTGAGATAAGGATCAGCACTTTGGAGTTAAAGTTTGTTTCCTTGCCTTTGCCTTATTTTTCTACATTAAGTTTATGTGAGATGTTTTATTGGCAGTTGGTGATGGTTCCATGTTTTTCAAAGTCATCCAATGTCAGTCAGCGAATGTACCAATTTTCAGGTAATTATCTGTCAGAGTCACTGAGTTTAATATATGCATTATTTTCACTTCTTTATGGTTTTAACAGTTTCTATACTCTGACCTATGCTGTTTGTTTCTTGTTCACTCTCTCATTTGATTTTGTTTCCTTCTCATCATTTGATCTCATTTTTGTCAGGTGTGTGAAGGGAAGGGATCAGCTGTGAGAGAGCAGAAAGCAGAGGGAGTGTTTTCAGGCTTTACCACATTCCAGGACGAGGAGCAGCAGAGTTCAAACTCATAAAACAATCGTTTTTTAATCCTCTGCAGTGTCGTTGTTCCAGCACAGTGACAAATAGGATAAGAGACACAAGTCATAAACTGTAGGTCAGCAGACATGAAAAATATGCTTTAAAAACAACAGTAGTTACACAAACTATCACACGAGGAGAGTCACTCTGGAGACATCAACATAACAACAACAACAACAACAAAAAGCAAACAGTCATCATGGGTTTTCAGTAAGCAGAACCTGTGCTCACACTCTGGGCGACCATCAGTAAACAAACATTTAAATATTTTTCTGTCAGTTTGTTCACAGCAGTCACAGCCTGTAACAACGATCCTGCATTAAGGGATCATGGGAAAGATAAGAGAAAAGAGTTTCCAGTTTACAAAAATCCTAAAATACTTCCAAGTTCAATGTACCCAGGGTATCTGTCTGTTATCTGGATTCACGTCCCCTTTTTTCATGAGGATATGTGCTCACATGAAGCTGGTTATCAAATCACTAAGTTAAACCAGGGTTTCCACTGCATGTTCACATGAGAGTGGTGGCATTGGCACCATCTAACCAATCACAAACATTGGTATACATACTGTATACTAGCAGCAGAAGAGCTGAGTTTTGCAAAAGAAGAAAGATAGTTTTAGTTTTCATCCTTACAGCTGCAGCCTTAGTGGTGTCAGTGGTCTAACAGTCTAAGACCAAGTAAAGATCAAAATAAAATGGAGCTCATTTATTGGGTCAAGTCTATGCTTCAGCATAGCAGTGATAAGCAGGAGCAGCTTGGAGTCCAGTCTTCTTCACTTCTTCACCAAAACTGCTACAATATAGCACATTTAAAATCTGAGATAACCCAAAGTGTTTTACATTTGAGGCATATGACAAAGAACATTAAAAAATATCATGTTTCACTTAAACACCGATTCGAGTCCCAAACTTCTAAATTTAACCAATGATTCACAATTAAATAAAACTATGTTTTTCATAAAGCAAACACATTTACTGCCACAAAAACTTTCTTCATTTTTGAATTGAAGCAATGAAAGAATTTTCTAACTTCATCTTTATGTTCACAAAGGAAGAGAAACATGAAACATGTCAGAATATGTTTTTTCTTTCTATGGTCAAGCTGATCACAACTTCTGTAATAATCTTTAACAGGTTCTTGGCTAAATTGTGTGCTTAGGGTAGCACCTCTGCTCTTGAAATTTGATTTATCTGCCCATAAAAATTACGAACTATCAGGGTACTAGGTCTTTGACTCAGTATTTGAGTCTTATTTTCTATTCAGTATTCTTTCTGTTGCTTTATGAAGATGTTTTAAGTTCAAGTTTATACAGTTTAGTCTTGAGTCCAAATCTTTTCTGTCTGAGTTTTTTGTATTTCTACTTATGTTGTCTTGTCTTTGTCTCATCCTTGTGTCTCTTGTGAGATTCTGTCATGTCCTCTATGTATGTTTCCCAAGTCATGTCTATGTTTATTCCCTCTCTGTCTCATGTTTGTTTTCGTATTTGTGTCTTTCTCCATGTTTCTGGCTCCCTCGCCCTCCCATTTTCCCACTTTAGGTTTTATGATTAGTTTCTTGTCTAGTTGGTTTTCTTGTTTGGTTTATGCTTGTAATCAGTCACAATAAAAGGCTCGCTTTTTGTTAAGTTTAGTTCTGCCTCTGTTTGTCTCCAACAAAACATTGATTCTTTAAAAAGGAAACTTTGTCTAAATTTTACAACTCAATACCAGTAAGGCTAACGATGTGATAATCAGTTTCCAAAGAGGACTAAGGACAGACCCAGAAGCAAGATAATGCATAAGGATATTTAATTTCACACAAGAGATTCACAGACTTAAGCACTAACACACTACAACTTTTTCAAGGAATGTTCTAACAATAGTTGGGAAAAACGTGGGGTAGTGGACAGGATGGCGATATATTTTTTAAAATATATTCTCAGTCTTTCCCATCCAAAACAAGGTTCCAAGGGAAAATGTGAAAATGTCTCCTTCAACTCCACAAGACTGGTTGGTAAACTTCCACACATCTTTTAATATCTTCAAGAAAATCAAGAGCCAATCCACTTTTCTACGATCAGGAAGAAATCCGCATCGTTCCTTCAGAATCCTGGTTTCAACTAACAGGCAGACTCTTCTCTCCAGTGTCCAGGCATATACCTTTCCAGGGAGGCTAAGTGTGATCACCCTGAACACAACCTCTGGTCCCTCTTTTTAAAAAGGTGGACTACCACCTCCAGCATCCATGCTCTGTCATTTATAGGGAAATTGTAATCTAATTACAGTAACTCTGTAAAGGATTACACCAAATTATTTAAATACAAGGCAGCAGATTAGACTGTGTGCTAATGTAGAAAATCTACATTAAATTTAAAAAGCTGACTGAATATCCAAAACAATGATAACATTTTTGCTTCATGTTTTAGAGATTACACGTGAGAAAAAATAGCACAAATTTTGCTGAAACTTTTTAAATATATAACTCACACCAAGAAGCAATATAACTAAACAATTAATCAAGAAGACAGGTTGAGGCAAAACCTCCCTATTGAATGACCAGGGTACCAAATCCTGGCTTCAAGAAGAACAAAAAAACACATTTTTTTCATGTCCTCCTTTTTCACTTATATCACTTGCAGATATTTTGTAAAAAATAAAAAAAATAAATCACCTCTAAAACATAAAACAATACACCTATCATTTTATATTATATCTTATTATATATGCTATTCAGACACATTATTATTATTATTATTATTATTATTATTATTAATAATAATAATAATAATAATAATAATAATAATTCCCACTGCAGAAGAACTTTCCAAATATGAGATAAATATCTCCTCTCATCCTCATTTTTAAAAATTCTCATTTTACTCTCTGATGAGTAGTGATGAGTGACAGATGGTTTCTTCCACTGAAAACGCTACGTCCAGATGAACAGAATCAACCTTTTGAGTAATTTGCCTGCTTGCCTGTATTGGTCCTGCTATAAACCCACTTTTACAACTAACAGCTATTCCACATTTTATGTGAAATTTTCAACTTGTGTGAAATCTCATGTGTCTTTTCAAGTGTATCATCTGAATGAATCTTTTCCCACAGGTGCTACAACAATGTGGCTTCTCACCTGTGTGAATTCTCATATGAATTTTCAAGTTTATCATCTGACTGAATCCTTTTCCACAGGTACTACAAGAATGTCGTTTCTCACCTGTGTGACTTCTCTGATGTCTTTCCATTGTTGGTTTATGACCAAATCTTTTTCCACAGGTGATGCAAGAATAAGGCTTCTCACCTGTATGAATTGTCATGTGTTTTTTGAATGTCGATTGGTCTCTAAATCTTTTCCCACAGGTGCTACAACAATGTGGCTTATCATCTGTGTGAATTCGCATATGTCTGTTGAATGCTGACAAAGCACAAAACTCTTTTCCACAGATGCTACAAGAATATGGCTTCTCACCTGTGTGAATTCTCATGTGAGTTTTAAGGTTAATTAGCTGACTGAAACTTTTCCCGCAGGTATTACAAGAATATGGTTTCTCACCTGTGTGGATTCTAATGTGATTTTTCAAATGTATCATCTGACTACATCTTTTTCCACAAGTGTTACAACAATATGGCTTCTCATCTGTGTGGATTCTTATGTGAGTCTCCAATCCTGATTTCCTACTGAATCCTTTCCCGCAGGTGGTACAAGAATAAGGTTTCTCACCTGTGTGTGATCTCAGATGTCTCGTTAGGTTGGATTTATCATGAAAGGTTTTTCCACAAATCTCACATTTTGCAGACTTTTTACTTATCTCAGATTTACACTGAGTCTCTGACAATGGAGAATTTTCCACTCTGTTTCTGTTATTCGTGTCATATGTCTTCTTATTCAGCTCCGCATATCGAGTTGATTCTGAGTTGATGTGCTTACTTTTTTCCTGATCTTGACTCTCTGGTTCAGGAGAGCTGTGAGAAAGGAGCTGATCACTGTGTGGCTCTGAATCACTGTGGTCAGCTTCATCATAACCAAGAGTTACAAGAAAGGTTTCAGTCTCCTGCTTCAGTACGAGCTGCTCTCCCTCCTTGCTGGTGTAGAGTTCCTCGTGTTCTTCTTTAATCTGCAGAGTCCCTGGATCCTCCTGGTTCATAATGTGGCTCTTCTCCTTGTTATCCACCTGCTGGTCTGTGAAATCCTCTTCATCCTTACAGACATGTTGATATGGAAAATCTGAAGGGGTAAATAAACAAAACAAATGTCAGAAAATTGTAAAAATGTGATGATGTTCGGGCAATGATCTAAATGAATGTTGAGTTCTAACACACTTTTTTTAAGCAAAGTTCCGCTAAATATTTGGATGCTTGCAATGCTATATTTATTGGATAATGACCAATTCTTTGTAATTTTACTTCTGTACACCACCATGTTGGAATTTAAAATGCAACAATCAATGCATTTAATAACTGAATAGCACTGTTGTGCTCTGTTGGGTTCAAATCGAATGACTGGCTTGAAGAATATCAAATTTATTTCTCCTGATGAACTTTTGGGTTGCCTTTGCTGTGGGTCATTATCTATTTTGGCTGCAAAGTGCCATCTGATCAGTTTTGCTGCATTTTTCTGAATCTTACCAATGTATAACCTGTAAACTTCACAATTCATCCTACTACATCTGTCAACAAACACATCACCATTAGACACTAGTGACCCAGTTCCACTGGCAATGATACATGCTCATGTCTCTCCCATAATTGACACATAATGTGCTATCCTTCACCACCAAAAACTGAGTCTGAGAGATAGCTAGCTGAGGTACACTTAGCACAGTCTCAGTCATGGTTAAGTGATGACATAGGAAAGTGACAAGAGACAATCAAGGGTGAGAAAGCCAAACTCCAAATCACACAGAGATTTTAACTCGCAAAGAAAAATAGGAACCAACGGAAAGTAACAAATATTGATTGAACGTAGAAATTAGGAAACTAAACACAACTTCACTAATATTAAACTAGGATTAAAATATAACAATAACTAAAATGCATATAAAACTAACTAAACTAACAACACAGACTCAGGATGAAGCCAATATATTTTTCCAGACCTGGATGCTGTTGAAATCGAATTTCTATGCTTACAGTGAAAACATGTAATTCTAGAACTTAAATGGATGACAGAACAAAATGAAACTTCTGGTGTTGGGTTTGTGTCTCTGCACGGGCACAGACTTAGTCTCAACAGCAAGTGGAAATTTTAAACTCATAAAAATCAAGCGTGATAATCAAAAGAACAAGAAAAAGTAATGAGATAAAAGCAATGAGGCTCTCAGTCAAACATTTGACTCTTCTAAATCTACACATATAAATATAATTTACTTAGTTCTCTTATTTTTCTGATAACAGATGACTGCTGAGTTTTTGTGGGGGGAGGGTTTTTTTTTTTCAAAAGTGCACGTGTCACCTGGTCCCTTCAGTAATTATGGAGGACCACAAGAGCCACACTCATCAAAATAAAGAATTCTGTGCATAAATTGTAAATTAATTTACAAATTCCTTTTTTAAATTATTTTATTTATTCAAACATTACATAAGTAATTTATTATTTAATAAGTTTATTTAAAATAAAAATGTAAAATAAAAACAATAATCAATATTTCAAAAATGAATAATTATTTCATTAATAAATACTTCAAATCAAAAATTGTTACTGGTATCGCCACATAACCTGGCTTGAGTCATACAAGCTTTGGTTAGTTAGTTTAGTTTTCTACCGAAGCTGGGTCTGTTTGTAGATGTAAAGCCAATGGTACTTAAACGTTTTAGAATAAACCAAGCAGACAGCTCAATCTTTAAGCTAAGTGTATTCACAGGGACCAAACATCTGTCCCATGATCTGTGGTGAGGAAACAGACCCAACCATGCTGTGCTTGGTTTATAGTTAAAAGAACTCTCATCCTGTATAAACCACTAATAATAAGTTCTCCTCCATGTTTTGTCATGCTTATAATCATACAACCTGAGTCTGTCACCTTTGTAATAAAGCCCAACATTTCTGCAGGGTCACATGTCCTGTTTCCCCTTTTTTGTTTTTAAAATACATAAAGAGTGATTCTATTAAAAACTGTGTTTTCATCCTGCAAGTTAACAGATATTTGATAAACCTCTGCTGTTTTTGTTGTTAACTGTCATGGTTGACTTCATTCTGCAGGTGTCCAGAGTCAGAAAAGACTGACAAGGTGAGAGGTGAAGGGACAGAGGCTCTCCACCCCTGATGAAACACCAGGACAAATTCAGCTATGTGTGAGGAAGAGGAGGAAAAAAACGAGACAGCAGCACGTGAGAGATGGAGAGGAGAACAGGGGAAGAAAATACAGCTGTTCTCTGTAATTTGGGGACTGGTAAAAACATTTGAGACAGTTTCTAGATATTTGCTTCCTCCACTATCACTGAAGCTGAGTAAAAACAAGAAGAACAGGGAACATTCCCTCAGTGACACTTGGAAAATTAGAAACTAGTCTTTAAAGCTTCACAAAACATTTGTGACCTTTGACATTATGGTCCTATCTGTACTCAGCAAATATTTTTATCAGGGAAACAAATCATTTCTAAAGGCTGTATAATCAGAGTGACTCCGTTTTTCTGCAACTCCAAGGAAGTAAACTCTTCAGTTTCATCATTTCCACTGCACCATTAGAAATGTTGTTGATGTTAAATGTTTAAGAAACACATGCACTATTGCTACTGATTGCAGCTGATTTTTAGGTTCTTCCTGTTTCTCTAAAAATAAATGTAAATTTGAGCAGTGAGTAGGATCCTAAATTATTCAAATTCATTTTTTATTAAGACCGATACAGCTTTGCATACCTGTGCTGTGTAAGTTTATTTCAGGTTTCCACATATCATCACTGAGTTTGAGTTGTTCATCCTCACTTTCGGCCTCCTCCTTCAGTTTAAGCTGCTCTCTCTCTCCCTGATTGGTGGAGATTTCTTCCTGTTCCTCTTTTATCCGTGGGGCCTCTGGGTCCTCCTGGTCCAGACTGGAGTTTTCCTGCTGGATCCAGACCTGCTGGTCATCCAGACCTTCCTCCTCCTTACACTTCATGCTGCTATTAGAGGTCTGAGGAACAAAAGCGCACATGAAAAAGGTTACTAATGTGATGACAGGAAAATACACCTCTAAACAAATATAATCCAGTACATGTTGAGTTCTTGAATCACTACCCGATTAGCTATTCTTATTGTTGTTTCCTGTGATGCAGTGATCTTTTGTATGTTATCACACCAAGTGGGTAATTTCCATGGGCAGATGGCTCAAAAAGCTAAGATTAGTTAGATTATTAGTAACTTTGGCTCTATCCTGCAACTCATCACTCAGTCCTCACCCTGCATGTTTAGAGCCAACCCCAAATATTTCTTGTAATGTCAATCCTGATGTTTTGATTAAACAGTGCTGAACTCTTGTTGTTGTCAACTGCTCGTGTGTGTTCCTAGTTCATTCAGTCATTTATGTTCAGTTCATTCAACCTAATAATAAATCTATGAGTCCAGCATTTTGGTCCTTTGTCTCCATTCTCCACACACCTGACCTAACAGAACGAAACACTGGGTCAATGGCCCAGGTACTCTGACAGTGGGTCAAGGG